TCTGGTTTTGTTTTTTATTATAATAGGACAACTCTGAGTTCAATGCCTCATGATTGTTGGGCTCTCCCTCTTCCCAGTGCACAAAAGTGCTCTCCACATCACACCACCACTGCTGGGAGATGGGGAAGGAGTGGCATTTTTTAACTCAAGACCCTCTTCGGTGCCTCTTTCAGCAACATGAAGTTAAAAACAATATTCTGTGAGCGCTCACTTGATTTTTTTGCTGTTACGAAGGAGTTTTTTTGTGTGTAGGTAGTTGTTAAATTGGTGTTCTTGTGGTGGGGTGGTGGGGGCAATGATCAGTGTAGCCTTCTATTTTGCCTTCTTGCTCTGCCTCATGTCCTAGAATGTTTTCCTATATGATGTAAGACAAGAATTCAATTTTTGTCTTCTTCCTGTAGTTTTTAGTGAGGTTATTATTATTTAATAAATAAGTCCTTCTTTCCCCAATGTTCTACTTAAGATGTTTTTGCCGTTATCAGGAGATTAGATTAGTGTGGCTTCATTTATATAGATACATAAATGACTAACTGACTCTTACTATTACTTTCATCATTATCTTTCAAGCTGTTTGGGAGCTAAAATCTTAAATATAAACTTTTAGATGATTTTATCCAATCTAAAAGAAAAATCTGTCAAAATTCAAATGGAATTTCTATTAAATTTGCATATTAAAGTGAGACATTGATTATTTGCATTCAAGAACATTTTATAAGTAATTTATTCAAATATTATGCTGTGTTTCTTAAAATCATTTTTCATATAGTTCAGATATTTGTTATATTAATTTGTCTGCATTTTAACTTTTGGTTGATATTTCAAAGAGAATATATTTGCTTGCCATTTTTTAGGTTTTTGTTTCCTAGAGTAATAAAAAATTGATCTTTATAATATTTTGGAGGCAGATACTTTCTCATATTATCTTATTAATTTTCAGGTTTTTATATTCAAGATATTTGCTTTTATGTTTTCTGATATTTAATGTATATTAATTTCTATTTGTATTTTATATAGAAATTTTCTTAGTATGAATTTTGAGTTTTATCAAATGACTTTTTATCATCTATTGAGTATCACAAAAATATTCTTCTTTTAAAACAAACAAACAAAAAAAGCCAATAGCTAGGCAACGCTGCCTTAGAAGATCTGACAAATATTGTTACCTAGCAAACATCTAAATGATGAAAAATTATTCCAACTAAATGAACAGCAATACATGAGGCTGTGGAAGACCCATACAGCTGTGTGATTATGGTGGAGGTTTGGGGAAGAAACAACAATAACAAAACAAGTGCAAGGTCAACGTTTCAACTTCGCAGACAGTAATGACACACATATAAAGTGCAAACCAGTTATTTCAGTTGACTAAATTTAAGGTCTTTACCTCCAATTATTTCTGGTTATAAAATAAACAAAAGAGAAAGAAAAGAGATTATTTCAACCCAAATTTTAAGACAGCAAGATTTAAAACACAAAGTTATACACAATATAGAAGATTGAGATATGTGGGAATTCTCTGTGTGTGTGTGCATGCTTGTTAGAGAGGTAGTGTGTGTGTGCATGAGAGAAAGAGAGATTATATCTATACCTCTGTCTGAAAACCTCGCTGAAAATAAAGAAAAAAACTAAGAGACTGAAATTTACCTCCAAGTGATGTTCAGAGTCAAGGTTGTTTTTCTCATATTAGAAAGCCGTTTACTTCATGCTGTTTTTGAGAAGGTGTCTTTTGAAACACTCAGTGATACAGTCCTGAGTGGCAACAGCAGGAGGTAGAATTGGTTTTCTATCTTCAGTTTGGCAGACGGGGCTATTGAAACCACCTGAAACTATAGGGTCAAGGATCATATGATCTTAAAGGCCATGTGGCGTTTTTGTTGTTGTTATTGTTATTTTTTCAAGCCTGGAAGAATGTAAGTTTTTCTGTTTGATATTTGGAGCCAAAAGTTTGGAAGGAGATACTTTTGTATGGAAAAATAAATAAATAAAACAATGTATTTAGCCTTGATATAAACTGTGTTAAAATGACACAGTGGTAAGTTTTACTTTTAAATAAAAGGTGAAAAAAAAAGAATGATTATATAATAAAGTAATGGTGGACTGCGTTAATGCAATATAAAAAGTTAGAGTTAGCTAAAATTTTAAATTTCCATGTAAGTATAAAATAATTTGCATATATTTAAGATTAAAAGAGTGTTGTATATTTAGTTATTTCAAATAAAATGTAGTTCAGTTAGAAAGTACCTTCCAATATAATTTTTATTATATTTTATTAAGACATTCACCATCTTAGAAATGGTAGTAATATGGCACTGCCACATTGCAATCTCTCACCTTTTAAAATTCACTCATTCATTCATATTGATGGAATTCTTGTTGTGCCAGGCACCATTCATATTCTTGGGCTCCATCAAAGAACCAAATGAGAATCTTTGCCCTTATGAAGCTTATATTGTAATTGAGGAGACATATAGTAAACATAGCAGAAAAGTAACATTATGCATTTTATAAAATGTTGCAAAATGATAGGTCTTATTAAAAAGATAAGAAAAATGGGCTAAGGGAGTGATGTAATGTTAGGGTGAATGAAATTGTGATATTTGAGCAAGGCTTAATAAGGTGAGGAAATTAGCAGCTGATTGTCAGGGAGGAGAGTGGTGAAAGCAAAACTAGAGTAATTGCAAAGGCCCTAAGGGGGAGCATACTTGGCAGTTCCCAGGAATTTTAAGAAAATCACCTTAGCTTGAGGAAAGTGAACCATTGAGAGAATAGTAGGAAATGCAATCAGAGATAAAGGAAGGAAGGATTAGGACCTTGTAGTGACTTCTCTTCTGACTATATTATGGATTCAGTGAGAATTGTATGCAGAGAATGCAGAGGAGTGTCCTAATCTAATCTGATTTACATTTTTTTAAAGATCACTATAGCTATCATATTCTGGATAAAACATGTCAGGGGACCTGGGCTAAGAAAAGTGTTTGGATTAATGGATGCATTTTGAATGTGAAATTTCCAAGTTTTTTTTTTTTTTTTTTTTCCTGATAGACAGGATGCAAGGTGTGTGAAAGAGAATACGATTAACTGCTAAGTTTTGGACTGAATAAGTGAAGGAATAAATTTGCCAACAACTGAGAACCATTGTAGGTGGCTCTGGTCTGGAGGAGAAAAATAACAAATTTGGTTTTATACCAGTTGAGCTGGCATTTATTACAGTTTTAAGTGGAGATGTTTGTATTCATATACAATGTTTTACATGTATATGTAATATATATATTTAAAATATACTTATATAATATGTGATATATAATAAAATACTATATGCAATATATATTCTTATAAAAATTTTGAAGTAGAGGTATATAACTTGAACTTGAATGCAAAACAAAGTGCAAATAAATAATTAGTAGCTAATGTCAAGAATGGTGGGATAGGAGTTCAATATAAATTTTATAAATTATTCTGTTAACAATTTGCTATATAGCCTTGATTGTAGCATTCAATGTCCCCAATCCTCAATTACCAATAACCCTAAACCTCAATTATCACTTGTAAGACTGCTATCATACTGTTTTCTCTGGTTTAACTCCAAAAATGAGTTAGTTGAAAATAACAAGACTGTTATTGGCAAATAATTGTATACAAAGAGAATAAAATTAGAATAAAATGAATTAAACATTTAATTTATTGCAATTAAAAACACTCAGATATTAGTGAATTTTTATTTGTTTAAGTTTTGTTTTAGGAAAAGTATCATAATAACATTTTATTATCAGTTAATGAATATTTTTCTGGTGAAT